CCTGGACCCAGCTGGTGGTGGTGCCGTGCAGGAGACGGCTGCCGATACAAGGCAATCCGCCTTCCTTTCCTCACTCATCACATATCGTCTTGCCATTCTCCAGCCAGTTGCTTCTGACTCGGATACGGCTGTTCCCTTCGATTCAACCTGGACCCAGCTGGTGGTGGTGCCGTGCAAGGAGACGGCTGCCGAACAAGGCAATCCGCCTTCCTTTCCTCACTCATCACATATCGTCTTGCCATTCTCCAGATTATTCCCACCTGATCATCATTTACTTCTAGCACAGGCAGTCCCAGCCGTGTACTTCTATTCTCGGTCCTCTAGCCTCAATTACACTTGTCGACTTCTCTCATGTAAAGAATTTTCAGGGATCTGAAAGTCTTGGCAGGTTGCAGGAACAGGGTGCAGGGAGGATTTTCGAAATCCTAAAGTATAAGTGATGAAACGTATAATATATTATAATATGAGAGTGAAAACAAGATAAATCCCATGGGGGAACAAGAGCGGGTTCGAGAGAGAGAGGTTATTTAAGACAAATTTTACTCGACACGCGCCGGGATCTCAATACTCCTCGACGCGCCTAACAACATAATATGTGTAACTAGAAATAGAAGATACATATTATGTATTTATGTATAGAAAATAACTGGACATGACTAGAATTAGAAATAAAGAAAACATGATCTGTGGGCGTTGTTGTCTAGAGATTGATTTTATAGAAAATAAAGAAAATGAAACTTTTGAGTTTTCGTCCTGAGGTCGCCTACACACCCAGGGCACTTCAGAAAAATCAGTGCATCCCAGGGATGCCATTGCACCTGAGATGTCCCTGGGACGGGATGCCGTCCCCAGGACATCACCATTCACAAAAATTATCGCGGCCCAGGGATGCCATTGTACCTGAGACGTCCCTGGGCCGGGACAACATCCCCAGGACATCATTGTCCATGCCTGGCATCCCTGTGATGTCCCACTTAAAAATATCATTGCAGCCCAGGGACGTCATTGCCCCTGAGCTGTCCCCAGTTCATCACTGCCCCCCCTGGCGTCTATCTCACGTCCCACACTGACTCAACCGTCACTTAGCCATTCCCACCTGGGGGGAACGGCATCTGAGTCTCCCCATGAGATTACCCTGTGTTCCAGAAGCCCAACCAGCTTCAATACTTGACAGGGGGACAACAGTCATCCCCAATAATGGCCCAAAAATTAGAACAATCGAGCAATGTATAACTGTTTGTACAACTTTAGCCACAAATGGAAGCGGAATACAATAAGGGCTTCACACAGGATAAATATTATAAAAATGATCATTTTTTTTGGTATTGTACAAAAATTAATGAAACAGGGGTAGAGATCTGGTGTTGTTATTCTCCATTTATGAGCTTATAACTGGCCCTCGGCAATGGTGACCTTTGATTCCACAAGATTTTGAGGAAGATAAAACCTGGAAAATTTTGAACAACTTAATTTTCATGCTACATACAGGCCCTAAACAAGTCACATCAGTATGAACAAGCCCTGGCCCCTCAAGTGGGCCACTTTGGGGCCTTAAACTGGACCAGTTAGATACAACAAATAATTCAGAGCAGGGAAGGATCAACAACCACAGGCAGCTCCGGTGGTCCAGTTTTGGTACCTGCAAGATGCCATTGAGCCAATCCCTCATGCACCCCTCTGAGTTGTTTCCTACAGTCAACCGCCTCCACCGGTACCCCTGAATAGTCCCTGTGAGTTGGTCAAGTCAATGGAGCATCGGCCCTTGTGGCAATTGTGCTGAACATTCAGTGTAGAAACCACGTCCTATGGAGGTATCAATATCAAAAGGTTAAGGTCTGTCCCCCTACTGATCCAGATCCAGACAGAGCAGTCAACATACTTGAATTCCTACAATCCTCCCCTGACCACCCCTCCTCGTCTCCCTCATGTTATAGAATTTACTGATGCCACCGAACTCGAATGGGGTGAGACATACTACAAATTTGGCCCTCCTTTCCTTCTGTGCTTCCCACATATGATCAATTTGCCCCAACTCCAACAAGGCGCCCTGGTTGGATTTGAACTATGCAAAAGATGCCTCTCAAAATTTAGATTTTCCAGTCTATAGAACTGACAAAAACCCAAGCTATCACTCACAAGAACAAAAGAACCAACAGACAGTAGATCCTTCCTTGTGATGTGGATGCCTGGCAATTGCTTGAATGCATGACCTGGAAGTTGAGTGGTCAGGTCAGAAGGAATGGTCACGTTGTTGGCCTTACGAATTCTGCGCCCCCCCACAGTTGGTTTGAAGGGAATTGGATTGTCCAGATTTTTGGCGTTGTAACCCATTGACTTTTGAACTGAAGGACTGTTTGCAAACAGTTCGAGGACCTTGGCAGATGCAGTTTGGTACGTGTTGGCAATGCGGTTGAAGAAGTACCCCCCAGAGACTAGGTGACGTAGATTTCGGAAGTTTGCAAAGGAGATACCAATATCCTTCCCAGGGCTCTGACGATTGGAATGAATTGAGGATTTCCGTAAGACACCATTGTAGCTCTCAAACTTTTCCGTCGCAAATAAAGCAGCTGGTCCAAAGCGGAGAATTGAGTCAGCAAGGTGAAGTAGCATGTGAATTTTGGGCTTGTTGACCCATTGCGCAGTGCTCTTGATGAGGTGATAGATGAAAACCCGGACTAGCTGTCGTAGGCTGATTTGATACACATCCATGTCTGCAATGTGTGTCTGGAACACCAACGGAGCAAGTTGACACAATGCTGACCATACCAAGCGCTTGTCCTCCAACATGTATTCAAACAAAACAAAGGGGGCTGCCTGAAGAGCTACCTTGAAGTCCTTTCCAATGAGGTTGCTGTAATGTTTGGTGAGGTAGTAAGGCCGCAATGATGGGACATTCAATCCTTTGGTGTCAAACGATTCATATCGGGCCATGACTTCTGGGAGGACACCAGCCGTGAGGGATTTCATGAATGATCGCAACATGTATTTGACAATCCCAAGGAGGAAAACATGGAGCACCTCTACTGGGGTGTCAGCACACCCATCAAAGCCTATTTGGAGAAACATATGCTGTCACAGGTCAACCAAGAAACTAGCAAGAATTGAACTGATCAGGTAGCCACTAACCTTTAAGTTGGAAAAAAGGACTGAACAAAGCCTCCTTTCCTCCCTGGTCCAAGTTTTTGAGCCCCTGAACAAATTGGACATCCTCTGCTGTGGCCGCGTCCTTTTTGGCCAATATTTCATACCTCCGATCAATGATGGAGGTGTTCAGGACGTCCCTCACACCTAACTTTGTAATCTCCTCACCAACAGCTGTTTTTGTCCAAGGCTTCTCCGACTTGTGCCATATGTGGTAACAATTCTCAATGATTTTGGCCCACGACCTCTTGGGATTATTAATCTAGGAAAATACAAACGTCAACTTCAACTGTCAATGAAAAAAAATTAAAGTTTATAATTCACTCACCCAAAGGCCAGAGGAATCAAGCATGGTGAACGAACAGACATAATCAATAGTGGCCTTATCCTTGACACTGACTGACGAAAGATCACATGCACGGAATGCTTGGAGTGAATTGGCAGGTATTGGGGTACTGGTTGCCTCAGCATGCATTGGGGAATCCCCCAGGAAGCACAGGACATTTGATGTCAGGAGGACCTCTTCCGTTAGGCCAGCATCCCATGCAACAGCTCTGGTGGTTGACAATTGGCTACATATGTACATTGCCAAACGAATTAGTTGGGAAAATAAACAAAGCAAGTGGAAATGTTTCAGAGGTTGTCCGCACTTCATTTCATCCACGATTGGGCCAGCAAGCTCCATCACATTTGCAACATTTGATGTGATGAGATAATGACAGTTATATTGTTGGTTGCTCCAGTTTGGGGGTAGTCCAGACAGTGTGAAATAAAACGGGACATGTTTGTTCCATCGTTTTGACTGATTTCCTGAGGTGTCATCACAATACAAGGTGATGGGCATGTGTCGAATCATCCTTCCTTTTGCGTGGTTCCTCCATGGATTAGGCAGTAAATGTATCAAGGTCATGTGATCACCCAGCTCTGTATTGATGCAATGGTACATTGGTTTCAAGGTGATTGCGGAATAGCCATTCGAATATGCAGAAGGAGAACAACTGACCATAAAGTCGACCCTGACATCGCTGAGATAGCATGAGTCCATCCGGTCCGGCAATATTTGGAAACGCACAATAAAATTCAGAGATATTGATTTCGTGAGCGACATCTGAGTGGAAATTGACACGCCAAGGTATAGAGATTCACAGGTTGTGTCCGTTGGATTCCGGGTCAAAATCTGGGGTTACACACTTTGACCACAAATCCTCACCTCTTTTATAAAAAAAAATGGGAACGACAACGGAATCGTTGGACAGTTGAACCGGCTCAAATAGATAGAAATCTCCGTTTGAGGTTCGAACCATTGGGGCTCTGGAATCCGGGTCCATATCCTCGAGCCATTTTTTGGATTGAGATAACTTGAATATATTTTTGCCCCTCGCATCTTCGGGATAGTAATCCATTGCCTGTGTGACCAAAGGATTTCCAACTTCCTGCGCAAGAATCTTCTGGATGCTTAGGGCGTACGTAGGGTTCCCCAGGATTGAGTAAGACTTTTTCACATCCATCTGTAGCAAATCCCGGTGTTTTTTTTTCTCACGTCGGTTTGTTGTCCAATCAGGTAGGATGACGTGTACCAATGAAAACATTGAACGGATGCGGTCGTAGATGCTCTGCGAGAGTATTGCGTGGGCGTATCCAATGACTAGTGAAGCAATCATGTACTGACAGAAGATATAAAATAAGCAAGCATCATGAACGGGGATTAACTGTAAACACACTTCTTTCGTCCGGAAGGGCCACCAACTCCTATCCACATGTGGTCGAGGTGTGGTACTTGCTAAGTCTCCATCGCCAACCCTGCCCAGCTCGCGCATTAAATCCAGGTCTTCTGCTGATAGCTCAAAATCTTTGCTGTTGGCCTCATCGGATAAATCAGATGACGTGTCAAGGTCACTCGCACATGAGTCCAGCTCATGGTCACTGAATGCGTTGTCCTCTGTATTCAATTCCCCTGCATCCATAAAATCATGATTGTCTTTGCCATTGGTGGCCAGATCCTCACACGCGGTCCATGATTGAGTTGTTTGATAATTTGACACGTCCAGCGCAGGATCGTCAACCTCAAGACCAGCTGAATTTTTGTTCTCATGTGGGCTCAGACGGGACTCTGGATGATTAATCGTATCCTCAACGTGAGGAACTCTGCTTTCCAAGATTTATTTTCTAATTCTTGATGTGTCTTTGAATGGAACTGAATACCATCTTCCTGGACCCACAGAGCAAACACGACCATGTTCCACCGTGCGGCTCGTCTGATACCTTATTCCATACAGCTGAAGAAAAAAATTAATGAATATTCATATGAATGTTGGTGTGTGGGATGTTTGCAAAGAAATTGTGCACACCTGGGTTTAGCTCCACATCTGGTTGGACGGCTATACCCCGGGGCATTGTGGATCTTATCTGTACTGTGTAATTACTGTATTGCCCACAGGACACGCGCAGAATCACTGACTTGATGAAATTGAATTGTGATGTTGCCACCAGACCAGTGCTGAATCACTGACTGAATTGTTCAAATGAGAAAAAAATGTTGATTTCATTTTTAACTATCTAGTCATCATGGTAGGTTAAGGCATAAAGGAAAAGATGCAGGTGGCACAGTTACCTTAACTAAAGGGCCCTAAAAGCAGACAGCTAAAGAAAAGAGCTTGGTTTTGTTAAGGAAGTAGAAGAAATAAGCACATCAAAAGTCCAGCAATGAAGAAATATTTTGGTTTAGAAGAAAAAGAGAAAGGATGAATAGGTAGATAGAAGTCCGCGACGAGGTTGTAGCAAGACAGATTGATGAGAAGACAAAGGGAAAGGATGATTAGGTAGATAGAGTCCGCGACAAGGTCGTAGCAAGACCAATTGAAGAACCAAGGATACACACGTCCCGTAGTCTGATTCCTGCGGCATCGGGATCACGGCAATGATGTTAGTTTTTGGTATTGCCACACCGTTTACGGTCAACTGGCCCAGTGTTTGAATTGTTGTTTGACTTACGCTTCAAGACCTGGTCAAGCAGACGGTCAGTCAGAGAAAAGCCGATAGTGAAGTTAGAAGTGCGGTACAAGACCTGCGGTATCATTGGTGTCAAAGGTTTGAAGTCAGTATTCGGTATGACCACACAGGTCAGGGCCAGCTGGGCCAGTCCGTGAAGCAAGTTTGACTTACTGTTGCAGACTGTGGGATTCAACAAGCACCGATATTGAGTCGGAGGTCAAATTCTGACAAGACCGCATTAAAATCGAGAGCGGAGGGAATGTGATTGTCCTGCATTAGAGAGGCATCGAGGGCAACAGGCTCGACATTGGTCCCCTTACACAAGGGCACGGCCTGTTGCCCGATCAGCTCCAATGGGCCAAGGATGCTCAACCATGGGTGATTTAATTTCACCCATGGTTTCAATGGGCATCCCCCTCGATCAAGTCGCCGCCTCTTGCTGGTGGAGAATGGAGGATCAGCGACAACCAACCCAATTGGGAATGGTCGCGCAGTCAACCTTAACCGCTTTACGCAAGGACAGAGGTCGAAGTCCCTTCTGTCCTTGAGTCTCTCCATCCAATCCCTTCCACCTTTCATTTTTCATTTTTAAGTCGTTTTTTTGTGTTTACCTTTTTCCTCAGACTTGCGACGCACGATAGCTGAGCTACCACAACTGATTCTCCGTGGTCGCTTTTGAGCCTGGCCATCCAGACCGCTTTTGGACTCGGGTACGTTATGATACCCTTTTGAGTTTCCCTTTAGCTTTTGGGTAGAATAATAGTGTTTCATCATCAACACTATTATTCTTCCGGCCCTCACGCTTCCTTGCTAAATCATTTTAATCCTTTCGTTTGCGTTTACAATTTCCTCGTAGCAACTCGCGACAGACAATAGCCGCGCTATGTTGATTGATCCTACGTGATTGCTCTCGAGCCTGGCAAGCCGCACAGCTTCCTGACTGGGGCCTGTCTCGATAACATTTTTCATTCGCCTGCGTCTTTTGTGTAGGATAACTATTGATTTTGGATTCCCTACTAGCTCGCGTTTGGTTGGAGAGGTTCAGACAGTACTCGACATCTGTTCATCAACGAAAATACCCAGCTTCGTGCATCCGGTACGTTTCGATATCATTATTCTTGTCACTATAGCTTATCGGTTGAGCCCTTTTTGATTGTATCATTTACCTTTCTCCGTTTAGTTCAAATAGCTCCAACAGTCCGTCTTCCCATCCGGACGGCATACCGACGGACTCGTGAAACCAAGATTAAAACCCCAAACACACTTGAACAACGGTCCCATTTTTTTCACCATGTCCGTCGTTGTTTCCTCAGACTCCGCAAGCGAGTATCAAGGCAGCAAGCAATCCTACTCTCCTGCGCCCAAAACACCTGGCCCACGCACGCGTGCAACGACTCAGTCGTCCAATCGAGCATCTCAGACTGGGGCAAACAGGGCAACGGTCCACCGTTCCCATGGGACGAGCGACCAATCTCCCTCGCCTGCACCGGACACCCCTGGCCCCCGCACTCGTTTGACAACACAGTCAACCAACCGCGAACCTCAGACAGGTCCTGTCAGGCCGACGGTCCGCCGAACCCATGGGGCTGGTGGCCGACTACCAGCTGGCCCGCAAAGGGGCGCTTCTACCAGAGCAGCTGCCCCGCCGGGCCGTGGGGCCTCGCGACCAAGACCTGGTGAGAATGTTTGCTACCTAGATGCTCCTTGTACCTGATACTGACAGGTGCCTGTGATCCTTATTTAGCCAATCTCCCTGGGGTTCCAAGCAGAGCACGGGCCACTGCCTTGAGCACTCGACAAGCAACAGCTGTCCAACCAAATGGCAATGAGGCAGACCCCCAGGGAGCTTGGCCCCCAGCTACAGTGCATCTGACTGTTGATGACGAGCCTATCAACAATGAGTTTGTCTCAGAGGTCAATGCCATATTTCAGTTGGGTGGGTCATATGCTGACCTTGGTGAACAACTGGCCTATGTATGTACTGTACATTATCATCCTTCAAACACCATAGAATCTTATTTCTTTTCCCCCAAAAAAACCCTAAAAATAAATTAAAATAAAACAAAATGACCAGGTACCATTGCCAAGGCAATATGCCGTTGGGATTTATGGCCTCTTATTGGTCAGGCAAGCAATTGAAAGGCTACGTCATGATATTCTCCATGCTCCTCGTGGTCCAGGGACAGCGTCAGCAGAAGTTTCCATGGCGTTCCAGGCTCAAAACTTCCACTACGTGGCAGTATTTAGCGTAAGTCTGACATACCCCAGCTGAACTTGCTCTGCCTCCTTGCTGAACCAAATAATCTAGGACTATGTCACCCGACAAGCCCGAGAGCTCTTGGTGAGCCAAAATTTGGGCGTGTACAGTTCTGAGGCGCCTCAGGGGGCTCCCCGGAAGGCAAGAGGCCTCCTCACTTTAGTACTGGTGGGTCTATCTCATGTTTTGCCTTATCTTTGTGAAACTCACTAGTATGGGTTATTGCCCAATTCAGGAGAAGATTAATGAACAGAGTGACGAGTTCAAGATCCGTTACCTGCCACGTGGTTATTCTGATCCAGATCCCGCTGCACGAGGCAGTGTTACTACCTATGTACAAGGTAAACTCAGGAACAGCCGAGGCAAAATGAGAGACTTGGTGAGCTCGAAATCTGCAATCTTTGGATTGTGTGTGAACTAACCACCAACTTTGTTCAGCTACTCACAAACATTGATATGGAATCTGAGCTCCCGGTTTCAACAATATCATTCCTCTTGACTTTGGTAAGCAACTGCTCCCCCCTCGTCATGAAGAGTGGTGCCTCACCTGCTCTACATTTTTACATTGGTGCTTCTACAGATGAGGTCTAGTTTGATCCCACCGCTCCCCAACAATGCACCAGCAACAGACACCACAGACAAAGGGCAGAGGGAATATGGTCTTCTGAAGGCGCGGTTGGCTTATCTGCAACTCCAAACGATAATTAACTACATACGCCAAGGGGGGCAATCCAATCGACAATGGAAAAACATTGATGAACACTTGCGTGACTTGGCCTATAAGAGTCGCGAATACCGATCAGCGTGCGTATAATTTTTAACTTGACCATTAATCACAATATTGATGCAATGGTGCTTTCACTATTTGCTTGAAACAGTTTTTACCAGTTGGTGACCAGGTACGATCGCAAAATTTTTGGTGGCGAGGAGGTCTTTTCCAACATAGATCGGGATTCCATTTCTCTTCCAACACACGAGGAAATAGAGGCTCTTGTTGCCAGCAATTCTGCTGTGAACGTCGAAGCCGAGGGAGATCCTGGCGAGGATGTCTGAAGAACCCACTTGGGTTGTTAACCTTTTTCTTTTCTCATGTAAATAGTGCTTGTTTCTTTCTTCTTTCTCAGGCTGGTTGGCATGCACGGGTGCATTTCCCAATCGGATTTTTGTATGTTTTTTGTTGTTGTTGTTAATGACCAGTCATATGTTTCAGTGTGTTATTCACAATGCATATCATTTCACTATCTCATTCACTGTGTGATTATCGTGCAATGAGTATCCTTGGGCTAGCTGGCGGATGTACATAAGGCATTTTTTTATGCCAAAAAAAATGGCGCAATGCCGGCTGGGTGATGGCTCAGAGACGCCACATTCCAAAATCCTGCAGATGGAAATTATTTGATGAGACAGCCCTGAAACACCTCCAGGACGGAAGTGGGATGAATTGAGGGGCCGTCACGGGGATGCTCCACAAGGACATCCCAGGGATGGTGTTTTATTTGTGGAGGAGCACACCCCTGGGATGCTCTGGTATGTGGGGGCTGCTGTCCTGGGGCCGTCCCCCTGGACCCTGCCCCTGGGACGTCCAACTGCACTGGTGGTGTACTAGACTCGACCCCATAGCCATCCTAACCAGTGAAGTGTACAGCACCTGATCAATTTGTGGGTGATAAAATTATATGCATGCCTGTACAAGTCTAAGACGTTGCTTTCCCCTCACAACCACTCATCATAAGCTTAATAGATCTCCAACATCACTAAAACATCAGCAGCCTCCATTAAACTAAAAAGCAGCTCTCCAACAGCACCCTCCAGTAGCCTCCAAGTCACCAGATTTCTTTGTTGCAGGCCATGTCATGTATCCAGTGTGGGAACACCCCTACCATTCTGGGGGATTACTGCCTAGAATGTGTATGATCTGTTATAGTCAAGCAACAACCTGCTTTCCAGCCCACCATCCTGCCAACCCCTACCAGTGATGCAGTTGCTGAAGCTATGGGAATCAAGAGGGAAGAGGCCATCAACCTGGCCCAAGGTTTATTATATGGTATACCAACCCCATCTTCTGGATCCCTTTCTGTCCCCAGCTCTTATATGAAACCACCACCACCACCAGTTCACAGGAATCTGGGTTCATCTTTCTATATACTCATACCCACTTATGCGCAAATACTCTCAATTTATATTCCATTTCTCTTCCGGAGATGCAACAGAACCCCAATTTTCCCTATGCCTCTGCTTGAGCACAAAGGAATTCAGCCTGCAAGCCCTATTCAACCAGCCATCCAAGGCTCATGATCAAGCAATCTGCCTCTGGCAAAGGGCCATCCCACTCGAGAATCCTTCCTACCGGGTCTCTGTCCAATGCGGATTTGAGGTGAGACACAAGAGCAAATGGATTATTTTTTTCTGACAACTTCCCATTCTGCCAACTTGGTACACAAAAAGGATCAGTCATTGACCAGAAGGGATTCATTCAATTCCTCAAGGAAAACACGGTGATAGATCTACACTTGGACTACAACAAGTTTGAAGACCACAAAGAAGATGAAGAAGAGTTGCGTGGCATGGAGACTCAGTCTAGGCAATATGCCCTACAATCAGCCACCTCTGCTTCTTTCAACAGCCGGGGAAACACACCTTCAGTTGGGTACACATTGGTGATATCAAACAACCGGGAAGACTCAGCTTTCTCGCTTCCAACAACTACCACCAAACCTCCTTTCATAAATAGAGAGAACTCACCTGATATTGTAGTTGCTACCTCCCCACATCAAATGGGTCTTGGCTTAACAAAAAAGCCAGTGGATCAAGCGGTGGAACCCGTAGTTATCTAGAAAAAGTCACCCCCATGTAAGTAATGATTTACACAATATATAGCTAGTTCATGTCACAACAATTTGGTTCTTTTTGGTTGTAAAGAGCTTGCACCAGTCATTCTTGACCTGAAGGATCTTTCTTGGGACCGGTTTGGAACTCTGGAGCACTTGAGCACCTTTTGTGGCCATGATGATACGTGCTCGGCCAATGGACTTTGTAGTCAACTCAATCCTGATGGTGTATACATCACCTTAAGGATCTGCTCATACTGTGTGCACTATAACCAGGTCCTTAGAGTCAAGAATACCAGCAAAATATTCCATGCTGAGATACTGGATTCTGGGGTGATCTATCCCATGGTAGCTGAATACATGTTGGGTTGAAAAATCTCTGCCAAGCAAATGAATTGTATGTGATGGAGCCAAATTATGTCATGAGGACTTATGTGGTTTATTGGAAATTCATGGCCCTTTCCTGCAAAGTGATTGGGTCATCCCTCCTCAGATGAAAGAAAATTGGCCTCAACCCTACGAGTGAGTCATCTGATCCAGTGGCTCATTATTTTTCAATAAATCAATTTACTCTACCTTGTCTGTTTGACGAGGTCAATAGATACTTGATGGGTTCCCAGTGCACGATGATGTCAAATGTGGACAAACAAAGGAATCTTTTGATTTCTCCCAATAGAATGACATGATTGGTTGACCGGAAGGTAATGGTAATAATATGTCCAAAATTGAGGACTCATTACAACCTTTGGATAATGAAGAACCTTGCCGGGTATTCTTCTTCCAGGAAAAAATCAAGGGATATCATGCTCTCTTGCCTCCTTTGGACAATGACTATGGGATCTTGGATGCCTCCAGTCCAATTGAAAAGATCTTGTATGCCTTTCAACACTGGGTATATGCAATGACCAAGGGCTAGATGATCATAACCAATCTCAAAGGAAATCCACCACTGATCACCAAGCCAAATTAGGTCATTGATTTAATCCCAGGTGAGCAGACCAGGAAGAAACCACTGAGGTCAAGGGAGAAAACTTACCAGCAACACAAGCAAAACCAGCACCAAGAGCTCCTAGTCCTCCAACTCAGAATTCTTATGATAAACAGCTTCAAGACATTACTAGACAGTTAGCTTCTATGACAGCAGGAAAAATGGCTCCTCCGCACATGACCATGTCGTTAGATTCGATGCTGTTACAAGCAAATGCTCCAACTCAAGTACCCTATAGTGATGAGTCGATGATGTTGAGAGTAAGGGTGTGGGTTCGGATGAGGTTGGGTGTGTAGTGAGTTGACTGGGGAATCATGGATCGATGAGGTTGGGAGTGAAGAGGAGGGTTGGAGTTGTAGGGGTATAGGAGGATGGTAATGTTGAGGAGAGGTGGATTGCAAGTTGAGAAGGATGAAGTGAGTTCTGATTTCATCTATTGGTGAGCTCTCCAACCTATACAGAAGATGAGAAGGAGAAGAAAGTTGATATGTAAATCAATTGACTGAGTTTGAAGAAATCCTATGATATCCATGGACTTACCCTGGTACATTTTTGACCATCTATCTTCATCTTTGGCCTCCTGGATGATTGAAGAAACTTGGTCTTTAGTAGGCGTATGATTTTCCAATCTTGATCGAATTTGTTGGAGAAGCTCATTGTGGTATTGAGGAAGAGAGTTCAAATTAGATGAATTTTTATGGGCTCGAATGATTGGTTCGGGGCAGTTGATAGTGATAAGTTTGAGAATCTCAAGGATTCCTTCAGTATTGCTCTGAAGTGTGGCCAGTGCTATGGCAAAGGTTTGACTGAAGATTGACAGGTCACTCTTTGATTTTGATCCTCTGTGCCATCTTCCTCTGCTCCTTAGTGTTAGATCTTGTAGTAGTAATTCGAGGCGGTGAGTAAATCAAAAGGGAACTAATTCAGGCATTGGTAACAAGGAACCTTGATTGAAACAGATACCAAAATCAAGATGAATGAGTTCAAATGAATCAGTTGCTACTAAGATGTTTTGTGGATGCCTATCTCCAATTCCAAAAAGGTAATTCAGAGCTGAATGGATTGCTGAAGTCTTATTGAAATTATATCGTTTTGGTTGAGGTTGAGCAACCCATGGTTGAAGGTTTTGTATTCTGGTGAATTTTGATGACTTGGTTGGGTGCAGCGGTTGATCAAGATGTGGAAAGAATTGAGAGAGGAAATTATCAAGGGATTCACATCCAGGGAGAAACTGAATTAAACCCAATTGATGTGACATTGGAACAATTGTGTAGGTGGGTATTTGAAGGTCCATAGTGTTTACCGGAGGATGTCTTGAAAACAGCATGTTACTATAATGATGTAGCTGCATTATCAGAGCATCTTGCCAAAGATCTTCGGACTTCGAGATTTGTTTGTAACACCTGTTGTCAGTTCCAACAATTTCAATCAAGATTGGGCAGCTGTTTCCTGGTAATTGGATGAGGTTTGATGAAATCTTTTCAATCTCAACCCAAGATTCCATGTTGGTTAGGATTGGATAATTGTCCCTCATCAGTTTGTCTAAATCCTTGGTGACATCTGTAGATGGTACAATGGGAGTTGGAGATGGTTTTGGTTTGAGAGTTTTACGAATCTTGTGATTCAGTGAATAGTATAAGTCAAAAAGATGGAGCACTTTGTGAAGGGAAGTTTCCTCAGATCCAATACATCTTCTTAAATGGGTTATAAGAGGAGGATCACTTGGGGGGGGGGGGGGGGATGAATAAAGACCACCATCAGGTGGGCAATATGGGAGAGAGTAGCTATTTTGTTAAAATCTATAAGTTGGCGTAGAACATGAATGATGGAATCTGGGCAGTTCTCCTCATGTAAAAAGCAACAGAGTTGAGGGAAAATGGTGATGAGGAAATTAGGAGGAATCTCATTGAAGGTGGAAGCTACGGTTGTCGGCCTGTGCTGGAGGAGGGTATAAATTGTATTAGAAAATTGTTCTTCAATTGTAGTCGACATGTCGATTGTTTGAAGTTGTTGGATATTTAGGTGGTACTGGTACTTGAGTTATGTGCTTGTATGGACGATTATTGAGAAGAACTGGAAGAGAGGATTCATGGAACTTGTGAAGGAACAATGTAGTAACTCATCAGTGTTCCAAAATTTTTTCACTTGCTCCTGATTTCGACATGGGCAGTCAAACTTCACTCGTGTGACCTTGAGGATTGGCAGAAACGTATCACAGGGGCTTCATGGCTCTTCCTGGACAGTGTCAACAGATGTCAAGTATCCTGATTTAACCACCTGTGAGGACTGACGCGTTGACACCCTATCTCGAATACATATCTCAACAAGACTTCAAACCTGATCATCAACCTCATCAAGCTCATCCCTGGCTCAGACATCTTAACCCAATATGTCAAATCATCCCACCAGAATGACCCCTTCCGCACCTTCCTCGAACTCTCCCTGGTCTTCTTCATCATTCGAACGTGGAGACAGTCCCGGACCAGAGGTGATGTCGGCAGCGGGAAAAGTTTTGTCAAACTCACCAAAAAGGTTACCCTTGTCACTCGTTCTGTCCGCTTTTTATTTACCTAGGGTTTCAGGGCGGCTTCGCCTCCCCTTTTAACCATTCAATTTCACTCTATTTTGGTTCCCTCCGTTGAATTCAACCATCCACATTCCCTCATAAACCCGATGCCTGATCGTTAAGTTTACCCCTTCTTCGATTCTATCTCTTTCCCTGAGGCTTAACCTCACCAATGATCCCTGTCACATACCCGATTCATCAGTTTCATCTAAACATAATTCACCAACAAAATATCATTACCTCCTCCCTCCCCCGTATGACCTGGACGAGCAGGTCCTCGGCCCCTACAACAATCCCTAATCCTGCGTTTTCAGGAGAATCCTCAGCAAGCATAAAAACGATGCAGGTGGGTGCAACACCATTCTCGTGATCGTCGCGTTCATTCGTAATTGACCCCCCCCCCCAGGCCCTCCTGAGTCCAAGTCCCGACATAAGCTATGTAAGCCGTCGAGTTAGGCTGAAAGAATCGGCAATCAATCCCTCAAAATATTAAAACGTAGGGTGGTGATCGTCCTGGTCCATGATGAGACTTCATCCCGACCCGCTTGACCACCGGAATACGGTATACAAACGTGCTCCCATTTCCCCGTTTATGTTGCCTGTAATTCTCTCACACCCATGAACGTTCATAGCAGCTGACCTTTACAACTTAATTCCAATGTCGAAACAAAGTCAGATCCAAGAATTAGCTTTCAGAACCAAGGTACTTTCGGCAATACTACGCTTACCAAATTTATTTATGTGTACTTTTGGATTAAGTCAAAGATGACGGCCTCCGAGCGCGTATTACATAACGCAGACAAAGCGATCCCCCCTTCTATTTATTGAACATTGATTGAATGGATTTATTTCTGAAAAATTTGAACAGTCTCACTGCTCCACGTACCGGCTCACGAGACCACCCAGATGAGCCCTGGGCATTTGAATGCAGAGAGTTCATCAGATCATTGGTTGTTGGCAAAGAAATTGGATTGTAACTTTCCCACACGCTTCCCATCAATTCGTCCTCTCACATAAATTAATCTTGCCTCTGCTCCGCTTACTATTTGCACAGCACCATTTCTTACACCATTCCTTCGGGTGGTGAATTTGGTGTGGCACATTTAGTCTCTGGGTCCAATCTACCCGTCGATGTGGCGCTAGAGATGGTCAAAAACGGCTGGGCTAAGCTCAGAGAGAATACCAAACCGGGTAACGCTGATGATGAAAATGATGGTGACAGTCCAGAACAAGATCGTCGAAATCAATTAAAGGAAGCCGAGGAGACTGCTCAACGTGAAGGCAGAGGTGTGTGGGCAGAAGATACCCCAGTGAGTTATCTTGATTTGGTGTCTGAATAGACGCTTGAATATCGAGAACTAATGTTAAAATCTACCCTTTTCCCTAGAATCTCAAAATCAATTACTCAATGCCCAAAGACCCAGCAGCCTTTTTGTCGGAATACAAGGGGAAAACTCTCGATGGTCTGTTGATTGATTGCAACCGTTGAGTATTTGCTTGGTTTGCTGACTGAAGTGGGTTTCCTGGTTGTTTTGGCAGCCGTCATTGAAACTGTTTCAAATGGCACAACTGTGCGTGCAAGATTACTACTGCGCCCCAGTCAACACCGGTTTGTTACGGTCACTATGGCTGGTGTTCGCTCGCCTCAGTCCCAACAATACTCCCCTCAAAACCAAGCCAATAGTTCCACTTCCGCAAATGAAGGCAAACCATGCATTAAGCTACCCACCGGAATGTATGTGTGAAAATGCCACTGCTTTCCTTTCACTCCAATCCTATTCCAGCGGAGCGTAATTCATGTTTGAATTTCTAGAAATGTTGCCAACTTACTCCTCGAGCGAGGACATGGGACAGTGCTAAGACATAGACAGGGAGAAGATCGATCTCAAGATTACGAGATGCTCATGGCTACTGAAATGAAGTAAGCCTATCAGTCCGCCGTGTCTATAGACGAACTTGACGTGATTTTTTCCAATTTCCCTGGGGGGAGAGCTCAAACGGAAGGAAAAGGCTTACACTCAGACAAATAATTCCCGCCTCCTAAGATGACTGATGTCTGAAGTAAGTCATTGGTTGGTATTCCCTTTGTTATTCACATGGACCTACAGATTAACAGATTATGACCAACTGAATTGACTAATTTAGAGCTCAAGCCAAGCCAACTCATACCTGTCGGGGTGGAAACGACAAGGCTGTGAGAATTCAAAAGCTTAAGGGTAGTTTCAATCAAAGGTCAGCTCGTGGTACATCACATGAGGTAATAAAAAGAAAACAAGCTGTTCACACCATAAGGGCAAGGGTATGATGCGATAGGCAAGATAAGAGAAAGGTGTAACAAGGACAAGATCGTTCTAGACGATGTAAGAAGTATAACACAATGAAAGAGCAACAGCAAGAGCAAGTAGAAACGATTCAGAGAAAAGAGTCACGGAAGGAGGTCGTCGCGAGTGGTTTAAGATGAGATAGTTGGTAAGGTTGTGTTGGGTTAGTTTTGCGGAAGAAGGGTATGAGAAGGTTTTGACCTGTTTAGATGGCGAGTGACAGATGGCAAACACTGCAAGGGGGGAAAGGAGTTAGAACTCTTTATACATATTTTAGTTGTAGTTTGTCACTGCGCTTACTGTGGTGCTCAGGTAAATCGTCACTGCCAGGCTTCCGCCATGGTTCAGTTGGTAGGGTCTTTATGACCGGATTGGTTCACCTCTTGGTCTTCGTTGCCTGAGGTGACGGTAGGGGATAATGAATCAGTCATGGCGCTGGTTACATCACAGTCCAGATCATTTTCTTAGTGGTTACTTACAGCTAGTGATGTCTTCAAGGAAACGGTCGGTTTGGTCAAGAGTCTGAACCCTACCAAGGTTGTCATTCTAAACTTGACACCTTTCACTTCGCCAAAAAAATTCTCCTAAAAATCAAAACCCTTATAAAAAATCAAAACTAACAAAAAAACAGTTTCTCTCCTCTTCTCTCTTCCGTCTCGGTGTCCTTTCCCCTTCCTTCTCTTCTTCTCTCTTCTGACCTTGTTATCTTAGAGCTTTTCTTCTTTTCCATCTTATAAGGTTTTTACCTTATTGGGTCCGCATAGTTTTTACTATGCCTCCCAAACGTACCGTCTCGCATGACAATAGGGAAGACATTGATTCTTCCAATCCTTCCCCTCCCCACACTCCGACCCAACATGATTTCTCTCACAATCCCTCCCTCCACCAATCCCAGCACAATCCCGTTAATGATTTTCACATTAACGGTTTTTTTCAATTTATGTCGGACCTCCTCTCCCACCCTGAACCTGATGGAAGTGTAATCATCACGGCCAATAAGGTTAAAGTTGGTGCTAGTCTTCTAGGTGTAGAAAAATCACACCAGGAAAAAAAAATGTGGAACTCCTATAGAGGTGCTTTCACTTATCTCTTGCTTAACCTTACTGTATTCAAACTGGATCTAGTCTGTATCCCCACTGTTGCTAGGATATATCCTTGTATCATTATTTATTTTTATTTGTCATATGATTCCTCTGCAATTGAAGTAATTCCAAATATTTAATTCATAATTTTTCAAATTAGGGGGTATCAAATATAGGAAATCCACCATCAGAAACCAGTCACTTTTCCAAAAACGTTTTTTTGCATAAATGGGCCCCAAAAGGGCTTAAATGGATAACCAACATGTTTAAAAAAAGGTTGATTTTTTCAAACCAGTCAATTAAATAATGGTGGGTTTGGTTATATTTGATACCCCCTATTATAAGTAAAATACTTGAAACCCTAAATAGATAAAAAGGTCAGATCTCAATATACATCTCCATCCATGTAAATTTATTACACAATGAAAAACCAAAATAATCTCAAAAATAAATGGATTGAATCCCTATCCTAATAACATATTATTTGATTCAGGTTATTTATGACATTGCTGAGTATTAATTCTAATGAGAATATAAATATGTATTCTCCTTCAAAAATCAATTCATTTTTATTGAAAAATTTATTCTTATTTGACTCCTGTTTTATGAAGATTCATACTCTTTTCTCCCTTGTGCTTGCTGTTCCAATCTCAGTTATCTAAACCCCTAGGTGTATGTGTATATTTAATTTTATAGATTTTGAATTATCTTTATGAGGATGAGAGAATTCAAATTGTTATATCTGGGAGACCCTTAATGATGTTCAATTTTGACATAATGGTATTACCAATAACTTGCACTTTTCACACATAGTTATGATAATTCATGAAGGTAAATTTTATTCAAAAATAAAAACAGTCCTCATATTATTGGCTTTATTGATGAAGATATATGATTCTGTCATAATTTTTATCTTAATTTTATTATGGATTACTTCTCCCTTCCAAACAACATCACAATAAGCCAGGTTTTTTCTCAATCTAAATTATCATTCACAGGCAAATGAAAAATAACATACGTCATGAGTGCTTGATCCCTTCTCAAGGCTCATCTTGTCTACTTCTAGAACTTGAAAACAACAAAGCTGTGTTGTGTTGGTCCAGCATATTGGATAATACTCAAAAATTTAAACCACTCAAATCAGTAACAATTTTATTCTAATTAAAACAAAGAAGAAAAAAAAATTTCATCTACCATCCCCAGCAATAGGTAAGTATACTGAACTCAATAGCCCAATTTAATGAAATTAGATTTTGTTCCATTTCCTCTGTAAAATTGTTTGTTTTCATACTTGGTTTTTTCCAAGCCTTGTTCTGAAACCAAAATTTTGAGGCTCATTATGTTTCTTCTTCCAATTAATAATGTAGATTATTCTCAGGAGTAGGCTGAGGCATGGAGTGTGTCATCAGCATTCCAGAAAGAAAACATATGTTTTAATTCAAATATGTCAAGGGTTTCCTATCATACATATTTCTCATTTCCTGCTCATCACCACTGGGTAACAAAGTATGACTGTAAATATAAATTTTCCAACTTTGAAAGCCTCAGGATTTTTGCCTAAAATCCCTGGCCACTTTAATTGATTCTTTGGAAATTTTTACATTTTGAGGAGAAATATTTCTAGGTAGAGCAAAAAATTGTGCTATGATCTCAGAAAAACTCATGAGTTTAACTCTCTTCCAGTTGCAAAAAGTGGGCAAGGACTTTTGATTTTCATACTGTGATTTAAGTAATCATTTGTCCAATTCATTATTTTTGAACAATTTCTGAGTTCAAGTTTGCTTGACAGTATTTCACAGGCATTCAAGTAATTATTTTATTGGGATCTGATACACCATCTCATGATTAGCTCCTTGGTTTGTTTTGTTTTTCAAAAACCAGTGATTATGTGAATTTAATTCAGAATGATTGGTATTGATAGCTATCACTGGTTAATTGGGATGCACAAGGGGGAAATAAATCAATATCAATTATAAAACTTTGATATGATCCAAACCCTGATTCCTGTAATAGGTGTTCTCTATCCTTTGGTCAATACAAGATAAAGCTTAGGATAAAACTCTCTTAAGAGTAAAACCTTTTCATTAAGGTTTTCTTTGTTTTTGTTTTTTCAAAAGCTCAAAATTTATCAGGAATGAGAATTTTAGTCATGAAACAGAGGTCAAAATTCCATTTTCTTGCTATACTTACTAATGCAACTGTACAAAATCTCTATTCGCGAGATCTGGAAGAGGAAACAGGAACTAATACTGATCTTCCATATTCAAACATCAGATCAATAGGGTTAGGTATTTTTTGGCTTAGCAAGAGGATCTGGTCTGATTAACTGCATGAAGCAATAAATCTTTATTTCTCCAAGCAGCAGATAAGGAGAATATTTCTTTCCCTCCTTTGCTTGTCCGAATACAAATGCGTTGGTCTGGAGGAGATCAGAGGCATGTTTTCAAAATTAAGACCGCCGGTCTTATTTCTGAATTACTGGAACCATTTAATTTGTAATCGCCGGTATTCAAGCAATTAAGCCCGCCGGTCTTAATCTGTTTGGTCCAAAATGAACCATCTGATCTTGTTGCTTGATCGCAACTGCCTTGTCAGTGCAAAAGCGATGGGATGAGGGGAATCTTTCCTTTTTTCCTGATTTAATAGACATCGAGGATCTGGTTTGAGGCAAGATAAATTGGAAATATTGGCCTTCATCTCCTGCTAGGACCAATCCATCTAATTTGTTGGGGGTGGGAGAGGGATTCTTTTTTTTCTTCCTTAGCCGTTATAAAATTCAATCTTTTTTTGTCAGAAGATATTCCAGGACCAGTGAAACTCATCACTCATGAATTTAAAAACCACAAGACATACACATCTTTTTTCACCCAGCAAAGTTGAAGTTTCTGCCCTTCTGCTTCTTAGCCCTTTGAAGATGCTCTCAGAAATTTTTGCTTTCTTTCTACACTACTTTGAATTATTCTATGTGTTAATTAAAATCTGAAAAACTAGTGTTAGAGTCTTTTATCCCATATTAAGAATTCCAGAAATTATGGTTGATTTCAAAGCCTGACTGGGTCTACATAGATTTTGATTGATGTTGTATCAGTTTGTGTTGAAATTTCACACTCATAAATAAATTGGTGCACAGCAATTCGCAATCAAATGAAGCAATTAATCTTGACTCAGCTCAAAAAGGTCCAAGCACCATTTGGAAACAGGCTTTTGCTGTTTTTATTAGGAGAAGTGATGTGATTTTTTGACCAAGAAAGAAAACCAATTTCATGTTTCAGATGATTAATATTTTGATAGAAATTGAGTGTTTGAATGAATTGTTTTTGAACAGATGATGGTGCCTTTTTGTTTTCAGAAGGGGATCCAAAAAATATTTCAAATAATCCATAACTATCTCTCACAGATATTTCTAAATGATGTGACATTTCTATCTTTTGAGTTAAAGTTTGAGTGAAGAAAGATCACTGATTGTGAATCTTCTGGAGGTATGGCTTGTAGTTGTTTTTGAGATAAATTAGCATACAAATATCTGGATTTTCAATCTTACACAATTGTACAAGATCTAATTGTTTTCATCAAGTCATGATTCTGGACTGGTAATTTCAAGTCTTTGAGTTAGGGTTATTAGGAAAGGGAAAGATTTAGTATGTGAAATTTCATAAAAAAGGCTACTGTAATCACTCAATATTTTCAGGTTTTTCTGAAAATCTTACCTTGAAATTTGCTTCCAAATTGAACACATCATTATTTAGCCTCAGAAATCTTCAAAAAAAAATCTGATGTATTCCAGAGCTTAAGACTACCCAGCTGAGATACAGAAGTAGATATGATGTATGCTTGTATAGGATACAGCACATATACAACTGGGATACAGTTGGGATATACAAAAACCACCTCTATAGTGGTTC